AGAGGACCTTCGCACCCATCTCACGTGCTGCCCAGGCGGCGCATGGCGGCCCATCGACGCCAGGGGAGGAGCGCGACGGCGCATGTCTGACAAGCACCCGCTGCAGCATCTCAAGAGACGGCGGGGGAAGCCCATCGAACGAGCAAGGGTGCACGAACCGTTCAGCATAACGCCCTGTGCGGGCAGGATAATCTTGGGGAGCGGCAGAAATTGATGCCCAATAGCGCGCGAGCGCGTCCAGCTTCTCGAAGGGGTCGGCATAGGCGGCGCCGTCGACCTCGATGGAGCGCAATGCAAGCTTTTTCGAGCAAAGGAACCCAGAGCCGAGCCTTCCGTTGCACCGCAGCGATCATGCCAGCCGCTGGGCGCTGACGACCTTCCCCATGCACCGCATCATGTTGTAAAAGCTCCAATTCCAGCTCTGCAGCACGACGTTGAGTGGCGTCCACCCAAGCCTGAAAGGTAGGATAATCCGTGATGATGACCTGGGTATTCTGTACCTGCAGGCACGACCGAGCAATTTCAGATGTATGGCAGAACTTCTGCGCAAGAGAAGTGGTTTGCCGCCGGACGCAACAAGCGGCTTGTCGAACATAGATCAGCTGAACTTCAAGGGAGTCGCTCTCAGTGACCAAGATATTCTGCATTGTATCGAAAGCTGCAGCTTGAACCAAGTCTTTATAACGCAGTAAATTGCCTCGGTGGTGACATGCCCAAGAAAAACTGTCCATCGTTATCGAGAAGCACGCCTAGTCGCCGCCGAAACTCGGGCCGTTTATAGATATGAGCAGGGACTGGTTTGCGATAGCAGCCATCCAGATCCCGATGCCGAATATGAACACGAATTGCCGCGTGATCCGATAGCCCTTTGTCGTGCATCTCTTCAGGCGTGGATACTACCGACACGGAATGCTGGAGTTGGCATGACACCCAGTTCGGTTCGGAGAGCCAGAGCCGACCCATCTGCGACACGGCCTTCGCGCCATGGCAGTAGTGAGTCGGACCCTCCGACGCTATCCCCAACATCTGATCAAACACCGAAGACCAACGCCTAGCATGCGAGCGAGCGTCATTCGTGACTTTGCGCGGCTTTGCTGCTGTCGGTTGCTGTTTGTTGCTGGGGAGGAGGGGGAGGAGGAGGAGGAGGGGGAGGAGGACGAAAAGGAGCAGGAGGAGGAGGAGTAAGAGGAAGAGGAGGAGGAAGAGGAGGAGGAGGAGGAGGAGGAGGAGGAGGGGGAGGAGGAGGAGGAGGAGGAGAAGGAGGAGCGAACATAACCTGGCGGGGACGTCTGTTCGCGCCTAGCCACGGGGTGGCGCCGCCGCGCGGCCCGCGCCTCCGATCAGGTCGGAGGGCAGGCGGAGGGCGTGTCGGGCGGCCTGCGTGGCGTCGTAGTACTTCTTGGGCTCGTACTTGATGTTCTCCTTCATGCTGTGGTAGACTTTCGTGGCGACCGTCAGGCGCATCGCGAAGCTCTTGATGCCGTTCTCGCCGTCGTACCCGACGTGCATGGGCGGGAGGCCGATCCTGGTCATGACGTCGGAGTTGAGGCTGCCACGAGGGAATGCCAGGTGGTGAAGAAGACGGGGACACTGGAGGTAGTGGCTGATCGCGTCGGGCTTGCTGCGGCCGAGAATGCACTGGTGCGTCTGGGGGTTGACGTGCATGCGGTCGGCGGTCGTCCAGGCACCAGCCAACGCCTTGAGAACAGCCCAGACCCGCGCGGGCAGCTGGGTCGCCAAGTATTTGCGAAGACGAAGCCAGCGTGCTAGAAGGTCATCAGGAATGGCGGTGAGCTGGACCAGGCATGGCGTGTTCTCATCATCCTCGGCGTCAGGGTCGTGGTCCCGGCCATCGCTTGGAGTGTCGGGATCTTCTTCAGCAGGAAAGAGGGCACGCTGGCAGTGTGCCCAGCGGCGACGTGCACGATGTTCGGCATATTGAAGCGGCGGAGAGCAGCCTGGCGGCGAATACGAGAGGGGTCGCTGCCCATGTCGCCAAGGATGGCGAACGCCAGCCTGCTGCGAGCCAGGAACGTGGTGTCCCATGCGTTGATGCAGATCTTCTTAGCGATGTTACGGCGAGGAGGAGAAGAAGGAGGAGGAGGAGGAGGAGGAGAGGAGGAGGATGAGGAGGAGGGTGATGTGTGGGAACTGTGCATGAGCGACAACAGAAGTCGCACAGGGGAGGAGGAGGGGGAGGAGGAGGAGGAGGAAGAGGAGGATGAGGAGGAGGAAGAGGAGGAGAAATAAGAGGATGAGGAGGAGCAGCAGCAGCAGGAAGGAGGAGGAGGAGGAGGAGGAGGAGGGGGAACTGTGGGAACTGTGCATGAGCGACAACAGAAGTCGCACAGGGGAGGAGGAGGGGGAGGAGGAGAAAGAGAAGGAGAGAGGAGGAGGAGGATGAGGAGGAGGAGAGGGAGGGGGAGTGGGAGGGAGAGGATGAGGAAAATGATGATGATGATGTTGTTGATGATGAGGAGGAGGCGGAGGAGGAAAGGGAGAAGGTTGGGCTTCTGTAGTGTCTTGGAAGCTGCCGCACCCCTCCCAACGAGCGCCCCACCTCCCCCCCAAACCACATACCCGAGGTTTGCTTCCTGGCGCCCAGCTCGGCCTCCAGACGGCTCCAAGACAGCCCAAAACCGCATCGCAAAAGACGTAAGACGCCGCATGACCATCCAGAAACGGCCGACGAGCTCCCAAAGGCTCCAATGTGACCCCAAGGTACCCTAAGAGGCTCCCCGCGGCCAACGAGGCCCTTCAGAGGCAAAGCAACCTTGAAACATTTGAAACATCCCACCAGTCCTTGGGGCTAAGGTGGTCTAGCGATATCCTCGTTCGAGAGCCCCCTCCACTTCGGGGAGGGGGGAGGGGTACCCTCCCCCTCCCCTCCCTGCAATTTGTTTTGGGAGTCCGCGTGCGGCCAGGGGGCCCAAGATGGATCCACGAGGGCCTCCGATTCTCCAAGACGGCCTCCAAGGCGGCTCAATCTATACATATATATATATATACACACAAGACTGCGCTTCGCGTCATGCACCTTGGTCCTTGAAGTTTGGTGTGCAGGCGGAATAGCAGGAAGGTCAAGCCGACAATTTAGCGATAACTCCTTGTTGCCTTTTCCAGCATTGCCGCTCTGATAATGTTATTCGTTATCCTTCCTCCATGCTTCTTTTTCCTCATGTTCGCCATACCCTGCGCATTCTCCCTATCCTCCTCAGCTTTTTTTTGCGGAGGCTCCGCCTGGGAGAACCTCTGGGGGCCTAGAAAAATTGTTTCAGGCTTTCTTAAGGCCTTCTGGAAGCCTCCTGGGCGTATTCTGGGGGCCTCTGGGGGCTTCCTCGGGCCACCCTGCCTCCAACCACGGTCTCCCTGAACGACCGGGTCACGATTTAGAATGCTTCGGAGGGTGTCTTGGGGCCATCTTGGGTCGCCATGGGGCTCTCTGAGGGCCATCTTGGACCCGTGTTGTGCCGTTTTGGGGCTCTCTTGGACTGCCTGGAAACCCTTTCGGATGGTTGTGGGGCGATTTTGGAGCCTCCCAGGCGGCTTCGGACGCCCAGAAGACCGCCGTCTTGGAGCGTCGGGAAGCCGAAAAGAGGAGAACCCCAAAATGCATTAAAAACTATCAGAAAATCAATGATTGTTGCCTCTTGGGAGTGCTCTTGGAGGCCTCTTTGGGGCCGTCCTGGAGACCTCTTGGGCCATCTTGAGGTCACGTCGGTCACTCTTGGAGCGCTCGCGCTGTCATGGGGGTCTCTGAGACGTCTCCGATGACCCCCCTGATCGCTCTAGGTGTGCTGGGAAGGCTTGGCAAAACGCCCTGCGAGGCTAGGGGGGCCGCTTCGAGGCCCGTCCGGAGGGCCCCAAAGCCCCAGATCCCGGGAGTTCGGTTTTTGGGGGGGGGGGGACGGGTTTTCCCCCCGCCCGGGCATATAAAAATATAGGAAGAGGAATATGTATATAGTCGAAGATGGTTAAAGATAGCTTCCGACATGCCTCCAAGAGGCCCGACAAGGGCCACAAGACGGATCCAAGTGCTCTCGGAGACCCCTCAGGACCCTCGCATGAGGCTAACATCAATCAGAAACCAAATGAATTGCTTTCTCGCCGTTTCGCTTCCGATGCGCGTCTGAGGATTGAAGATGGCCATAAGATGGCACGCCCCAAGGGGCGATTTCGAGGGCCCCAGAGGGGGGGGGGACAAATGTTTAGGACCCCTCTCTTTTCACCGACGCCCTCCACGATAGCCCCAAGAGGCCCTCCAGGGCTCCAGAGAGGCCCCCAAGAGGGCCTCGAGACCACTCAAAAGAGCCCCAAGAGGACCCCAAGATCCCTCCAAAGAGCACCAAGAGGGCTCCAAGAGGCGATTTTGAAGGACCTGTCCTCGTCCTCGTTGTCCTCCTCCTCCTCTTCCTCCTCCTCCTCCGCCTTGCCCTCATCGTATTCCTTTTCCTGTTCCTCCTCTTCCTCGTCGTCGTGGTGGTGGTCGTCGTTGTCTTCCTCCTCCTCCTCCTCCTCCAAATCCTGCTTCTCCTTCCCTTGCCCCCACACGGGCCCCAGGGATGGCCCGACGAGGTCTTCCCAAGGCCCTCCCCTTGGCTCCAGAGATCTCTCTTTTCACCCTGGTTGCCCGCTTTGATTCACTATATGTCTATTCTTCTCTTTTCCCGTCAGATCGCATGGGCAGGGTTTCCGAGTGTGCCGGTGGGGGGGGGATAGGATAGGCGAAGCGGGAAGTTGGTCAACAAGGGTGTTCTTGCAGTTTACAAGGGTGTTCTTGCAGTTTACAAGTTGTAAACTACCCAAATCGATCCTTCCCGAAAAAATCCGACGGGTGGTCGGGGGACGAATATCCACATATCTATTCTGACCACTGTAAATGGGGTACCGATATCGGCATCCTGACATACCTACTTTCCTCCTCTGGAAAATATGCGGCCCGGATGCGCAAACGGGGAGGCGGCCCGGACTGAATTCGAGGCGTGTTCTGAGGCCCCGGCAAGGCCCGTCTGGTTGAGGTCGAACTGCCGCCAGGCGGCCTGCGGCTGGCCGCGTCGAGGGGACCAGAAAGAGCCCTGAACATCCGGCGTCCCGAACAAAGATCGAGACACATTGTTTCATCCGTTTCGGCCTCTCGGGGCCTCACCGGGCCCCAGGACTATCAAAAAACGACTCGGGATCAGAACCGGTCCAGGCAGAGTGGTCTAGAGGTCAGGGGCCCGTGTCTCGAACAAATCGATACGCCCGATGTCCGGGACCAGAAAGAGCGGCAGACCGAAGCCGCACCGACACGATGAGCCATGTCGACCAGGACTGTCCCAGAAGCTGCTTCGCATGGACACGCCGAGCCAGAGCCACATTCGGCGACTCCGATAGGTGTGGTTTGCCAAGGGTGTGGTTTGCAACCCGCGCCTAGGGGGGCGGCGAGGAACCTCGAAAGAGATCTCTCCCGCCCCCGATGAGGGTTCATCAACCCTTGGCGCAACGTGGTGGCCCCCTACGGCGCCGCTCGCAAAGCACACCCTGGCGTAACCACACCCTTTGTAGTCGCCGACGCACGAGATGGACGCTCCGGGGGCAGCCTCCTGGCGTCCTGGCGCGGCCGACTCGACTCGAAAAGGGAAGCGTTTCCGAGGCGTCCTGTTCGCCGGCCACAAGGCTCTCCGAGGAGGGGGCCCGGCACCTGCGAGGACCACATGCGCGAAGAAAAGAAACGACTCTGACGCAAGATGGCATAGCGACCTTACGCCGCGGCTTACGCAGACCGCCAGCGTGGCACGCTACACTGGAGATGAAGGCGCTTACGCGCGACCTTACGCGGTACATTTACGCGCCTACGTCGGTGAAGACGACCCCGATGGTCTGTTTCGCTCACGTGAGGTCAGGTGCTTGTCTGTGGACATGGTCGGCCACGGGCTCCTTGTTGCACATCCGCCTTTGGGGGCCTTCGGTGGTCTTCAGCGATTTCTAGCAGCCTTCTGCGCGCGGCTGCCTCCAACAAGGGGTCCGAACGCGTCAATTATGGGCCCCTTGACTTCTGGCACCGTGATTGCTGGAGAGCCGTCGATGTGTTCCTTCACCAGAGCATCATGAAAGCCCTTAACTCCTCTGCCATGGAACGATCATCAGACAACGACCCAAGAAGGAGAGACTGGGCCCACGGGGAAGGGGTCGATTGGGCTCTGGAAACACCGTGCTGAAATTGGACATGGTTTTGGAAGCCTGGCGCGCCTTGAAAGCAGGCCGCCCTTTCTCTCCCAAAGGCCACGTCTACGTGTTCGGCCATGGGCCCCCTGTTGCCCACCAGACCTGGGAGGTCTTCGGCGGTCCTCTGGCGGTCTTCGGCGGACCTCGGCGCACTTGTGGCGGTCTTCGGTAATTTCTGGCGGCCTTCGGCGCGAAAGCTGGATGGTCGCGTTCAACAAGGTGACTATGATCGAACACCCAGGTCAGATTACCTCAAGAGCCGTGCGGCGCAAAGATCAGGGGTGGGCAAAACTCCCTTTACACCCTTCACGTAAAACGTCCTCAAGTGAAAGCTGCCAGGGGCACTCCACGTGCGCACGCCACCGCATCCCGAAGGCAGCTCAGTGGGGGGACTCAGCGACATCGACTAAGGACCGCCCTGGTCTACTCGAGTGCCAATGACGAGTGAAGCAATGTAGAAGTCCTTAATCCACTCTTCTGGCAGGAGAGCCAGCTCTCTAGCCCAAGGCCGCAAGTGTCCAACGCGGTACGCGGTGCTCTCCATGCTCCTGCGGGTGGCCTGGTCTGCTCCGAGCCGACGCGGTCTGCTCCTTGCGGGGGGCCTCCATGGGGAATCAGCAAGGGAGCACCGGCGCTCTGCTGGACCCGATGCGCGTTCCTTGTCCCGACGCCCCGACCGCATTTGATTCAAAGGGGTCCTCGCGAGCGGTAAACATCTCCGTATCCGCGCCCTCGCTGTCTGGATTCTGGGGCGCGATCCCGCGGATACGCGGTCGCACGGCCGCGTTCCGCGCGGGCCATGCGCGACGCCCCGTATCCATGGGGACGCGGCCCAAGGGGTCCGACCCGCGAAGCCGTGGATACGGACATGGAAAAGGCGTAAGAAACCAGGGCGAACCCCCCTCTTGCAAAGAACCGAAAGGTCCGGACCCCCCCCCCGCAGGACAATTATTCGGAGGGGTCGTCCAAACCCCCCGCCCCCTTTATGATGATTCGGGGGGGCCCCCTCCCCAAGGGAATTTACTCGATGGGTCGAGAAACGTCCCTCTCCCCCGCCCCCCACGCATCGACGACGACGACGACGGCGACAACGACGACGACGACGACGATGACGACGACGACGGACGACGACAACAACGAAATCGGCGAAAACAGCGACGAAAACGACGCCTACGACGACGCCGACAATAGCGGCGACAACATCAACGACGGCGGCGGCGCACCTGTCGCCAGCGCCAACGCCAGGCGCCGGCTCTGATAGAATGATACGAGGGCTCGATCCACCTGTTATAAACATATGATGGTGTTGTTTCTGCCTCGAGCTAAAAACCTCGAAGGCTGGATCTAGCTTACATGAAATTCATAAACGGCTGGATCCAGGTCTGATTGCGTTTTGTTAGAAGTCGATCCAGTTTCGACAAGATCCGACCAAGGCTCGACGCGGCGAATAGAAACATTCGAAGAATGGATCCAGCTCCACGGGATGGAGATTTCATGGGGTCCTCCAGAAGTTCAGCCCAGTTCTAATATACCAATTTGGGATGGATCCACCTGTAATTAAAATATTTGGGGGCGGTCCAGCTCTGATAGAAGCCAACTACGCTTGAGCCCAGATCGAAAACAAATTCGCTAAGGGGCGATCCAGTTCGACCAGAGTCCCACGGAAGCTGGATCTAGATCGACTGGAATTATTACTAGGCTGGATCCAGCTATAATAGAATCGTCGATCCAGCTTGAACAGAGTCGTGCGACGGCTCCATCCAGCTTGCATGCCATTCTTCCAGGGAGCGACCAAATTCTCTTGGAATCGTCTTAGGGTTCGACCCACCTATGATGAAACCCTACTTGGTTTCGAACCAGCTCTGACCGAAAACTTACCAGGGCTGGATCCAGCTCTAACAAGATCCATCCAGCTCTAATGCAATCCGATTACGCACTGTAGTCAAATCATATCTGGGCTGGATCAAGGTATGATGAAGTTTTACCCAAGCGCGATCCATCTTTTATGCACAGTTCCTATCGAGTTGGATCCAGCTCTGGTAGAAACAATTGCATAGACACCTACTGGGACTCGATCCATCTCTAATAGAACTCTACTATGGCTGGATCCAGCTCTTACATAATCATATTGGGGCTCGGTTCAGCCTTCATCGCATTCCACCAGGGCTCGATCGTCGCCGCCGTTGTCGACGCTTGCGTCACCTTCGTAATCGTCGTCGTCGTCGGCGTCGTTGTTGTCGTCGTCGTCGTCGGCGTCGTTGTCGAAGTCGTTGTCGTCGGCGCTGGCATCGGCGCCGTCGTCGTGGTCGTCATGAGTTGTGCGTGGGTCGGCGGCGACGTCGTCTTCGCTGCCGGGGACGGGGGGGGCCGGTGGGGGTTTGCAAACCCCTCGAACAGTTAATTCGCATCATTGCCCGCGGGGTGAGGGAGGAAGGGGCTCTCTGGACCCTTCCGACAAAATTCCGGGGTGGGGGGCCTGGGCGACCCCTCCTAATAGATTTCCCGGAAAGGGGGTGGTCTCCGCCCCTCCCCGCCGTTTGTTTTTCGGATATGTTCATCTCGGTCTGCCCTGCCAAACCTCGACGAAAACCGAGACGAACGCCAATGAGGAGACCAGGAAGAGCTCGGGGACCCCTCTGACGACGGGGCGAACGCTGGCCCGAAGAAGATCTTACTGTAGCGGCGGATCGTCAACGCCTTTGCGACTGACGCGAACTCCAAGGCCCCTGAGGGGGCCACGTCCGCAACTCGTGCGCATCGCGCAGCGACCAGCACACCGGGCGCATTGACTGGCCAACATTGATTGCGCAAGCTCCGCAAAGATTTCTACAAACACTCCGTGAAGCTGCGCACGGTCGTTTCTCTTGAGATCGAGCCTGTTGCCCGCGCCGTCGTCGCGCGCCTGCTCGCCATGGAAGGCAATGAAAAGCAAGGGCAGGAGGCCAGCGGGTCATTGGTTCGCGAGATGCAGACCAGTATCGATAAGCTGAAGTAGACTAGCGAGTGGCGGGTTTCTGATGGGCGCGGAATGCATGTTTTGCCGCGGCGGCGCTGGCGGAGCCGATGATCCCAGCGGCCTTCATAATTTTGTCGAAACGGCGCCGCTGCTTCTGACGGTCGGGCACGTAGACCAAAACATGCGAGTCGTATTGGCGCCGTCCCATTGGCTATTTTCCAAGCTTTGACCTTACTATTTGCCCACTTCCAGCATGTTGGCCAGACGAAATCCCGCTAATTGGCCAGTCGCTCCGAGTTCCGGCGTTGGTCAGCGGAACGCGCTCTGGGGATCTCCGCGGAAACACATGTTCGTGACCTGGGGGCAGCCGCTGCGGTCGGCAAGGCTGGTCGATGCGCTGTCGCCGCGGATCGGCTGCGCTTCGCGCGAGGCCGCTTCGGCAGACTAGGCAAGCTGCATGTCGGCTTTACGCGCGTTGCTGGCCGGGCACTGCTGCTGGCGCGGCCGCTGGCTTGCGCGGCGCGACGCGCAGCCGGCCGCCGTCGCGGGAATCGGCAGGCCTCCGTAATTGGGGCGGCGCGGCGAGCGGTCTGCAGAGGTAGCACGCCGGCGCCGCAGGTCGTGTTCGGAGAGCTGGCGCCGAGCTGCCGGCTGGACCCGGCGGCGGTCGCGGTCTTGGCGCCGCGCTGGCAGGCCGCCAAGGCGCTCCGATCTCGCCGTCTCCCCGTGCAGGGGTGGCAGGACGCGGTAGCGACCTTCGGCGCAGGCCGCGGGCGCGGGTTCGGGCCTGTTTCCGCCGCCCTCAGGAGCCTGGCGGAGCTGCGCCTGTGCGTGGACGTCGAGCGCTTGACCAGGGTGACCGCCGCGCCTGCAGGCAGGCGCCCTAACGACCAGTCTGCCAGACACTCGCGCCGTGCTGCTCAGAGCGTGGCCCGTGCGCGAGGAGCGCTCGTTGGCGGAAATGCGCGTGACCTACCAACACGTTGCGGGCGATATATTAGCAGATTGGCCACGCGGCGGCTGGGCGAGCTGGCGCCCGATGCTGCCGGGGCCCTCCGCGCCGTGATTTCTGCGAGCGTGGTGACCGAGACGGTGGCCGCGAAGTGGGGCCAGCCAGTGCGGTGCCCCCACTGTGGCGCAGCGCTGGAGGACCTGGAGCATCGCCCGTGGCAGTGCCCGTGCTGGGGGCCCACCCAGGCCCACCCAAGTACGCGAGCAAGCACCGCGACGCGGTCCGCGCGAGGCCGCCGCCGGAGACCTCCTTCACGGGAATGCTGCCCCAGGACCTGCGGCTGGCGGCGCTTGCGGAGCAGGCCCAGCTGCGACTGCCGCTGACACCTCTGTCCAGCCTGCATGTGCCGCCAGCCAGCAGCAGGACCCGCGCCTGGACCGACGGGGCCTGCGCCCGGTCAGGCGACCAGCTGCTTGCGGGAGCTGGCTGGGGGGTCCAGCTGGAGGCGGCGGGCACGACATGCTTCGTCGAGCACGGTGGGCTGGTGGACGACGCGCAGACTGCTCAGCGGGCGGAAGTCGCCGTGGCAGTGCACGCATTGCGTCAGGCTGGATGGCCGGTCGCCATCGTCACCGAATTCCTCTTTCTCAACCGCGGCGTGGCGGCCATCCACGACGGGGCGGGCCCCGCGGAATGGGCGCACGCGGATCTGTGGGAGCGAGTTGCCCCGCAGTCCCGCAGCGGCGCCCTGCGCGCACGGTAGGTCAAGGCGCATGGTGACGCCGCGGCAGCCCACGAGTGGGGGGTCTCGCCGAAGGACAACGCTGGCAACGCGGCCGCGAACCGCCTCGCTAGCCTGGCGGCTGGGAACCGCTTGCCGCCTCCTGCGTTCCTCCTGGGGCACGCGCGCAGGCTGGACGGGCTCGCTGCAGCGCAGCGCGTAATGGCAGCCGTGGAGCTGGCCGCGCAAAGGCCACCCACGGCGACGGCACCCGCTAGCCCTACGTGCAACTGCGCTGGACGGCCACGGGGCGCAAGAAGCGCACTCCCCGCGAGGGCGACGACGCGGCAGTAGCGGCCACCGCGGCCGCTCGCGCGCAAGCTCCGCAACCCGCGCGGCTTCCCGCGGCGGCGGGAGCAGCCGCAGCCACAGCCCTCTTAGCCGACACGGCTTGGAGGACCCACGTGGCATCCCAGGGGCCGGCCTGGGCAGCCTACCTCCGCTACGGCTGCTGGGCGCCGACCTGGCCGCGGCTGGGCCAGCTTGCCGTGCAAAGGCTAGGCCCTAGCGTTGCCGCCGTGCGCCGCCGCCCTGCTGCTAGCGCCGCCAGCCTGGGCGGGCGGCGCGGAAGGATGGCGCGAGGCGCTGCGGCGGCGCCTCGCGGCGCGCCCAGGCGCGCCTGACTGAGTCGGTTGCGTGTTCCCCCTCCCCCCCTCTTTCTTCTCCCCCTCCTCCTCTCTGCCACAGGGCGTTCCGCGGATGCTTCAACAGTTTCTATACGTCGGCGATCTGTGGTAGGAACGCGTGGGGGGCCTGTGCGGCTGCCCCCCCCCCCCGGTTTTCATTTGAAGGAGGGGGCAGCGGCCAGAGCGGCCGCCATTACTATCGTGGTCTCTGTGTCACCTGCCCGCCCATGGAGGCCTGTCCACAGGTAGCGCAGGGAGGTCGCCCAGTGCCATCGCGGACGTGGCGGCGAAAGGGAGCCTGCTCCTGCTCAGGACCCATACCGGGAGAGATACATACAAGATGTCGCTCCTGCTCCTGCTCCTCCCGCCCATCCTCTTAGCCAGGCCGCCCTCCTCGGCGCGAGGCTGCGACATGCCCCGACCTCGAGGGGCGCAATCCTCGCGGTGCACATTGCGCTCGCCACCCCCGCACGCGGGAGCTCCGGGAACTCGGGACCCAAGCCTAATTGCACACGACATGCTCTAAGCTGGCTGCTTCCGCCTCCTTCTCTCGGCACTTCTCGGCACCTCACGGACGGAGGTCTCGACCCGTTCCCCGGGGCCGATTTTTTGACCCAAGTCTTGACGGCCCCAGGGCCCCGTAAGGACGCCGATAGGCCGAAGATAGCGACTCCCACGTCGTGCTTTTGTCCATGACTTGACTGCACCTGGGCTTCGCACCCCCGTTTCTTTGCTCCCCGAAGATCGCCCCCCCCCGCTGCCCAGGGCGGCCTCGAGGGACCCGAAGTGGCCCGCGAGCGCCAGGGCCAGCGCGCGCAGGCCTTCGCCGTCCTTCGCGGGGGGGATGGCGCTGCGGCGGCCGGAAGCGAGAGGCGCGGCGGCCGGCCTCCTCCTTTTCCTCCTCTTCCCCCTCCTCCTCCTCCTCACCCCCCTCCCCCCCTCCTCCTTTTCCTCCTCCTCCTCATCCTCCTCTTCCTCCTCTTCCTCCTCCTCCTCCTCCTCTTCCTCCTCCTCCTCCTACACCTCCACCTCCTCCTTCTCCTCCTCCTCCTCCTTTTCATCCTGCTCCTCCTCGTCCTCCTCCTCCTAATCCTCCTCCTCCTCCTAATCCTCCTCCTCCTCCTCCTCCTCCTCATCCCTCCCTCCTCCTCTCCTCCTCCTCCTCCTCCTCCCCTCCTCCTCCTCCTCCTCCTCCTCCTCCTCCTCCTCCTCCTCCTCCTCCTTACCCTCCTCCTCCTCCTCGTCCTCCTCCTCCTGTTCTTCCTCCTCCTTCTCCTCTTCTTCTTGTTCGTATTATTAGGATTCATCTTATGTGTGATATCATTATTCTTATCCTTCTTATTATTACTAGTATTGTTCTCTTCTTCGTACGATGTCTAAAAAATATAAGTTTTCGTAGTATTACCCATATTCTTATTATTATTATAGGTAATAGGATCAGTGTAGTACGCTTATTAGTATTATCATTATTACTATTATTATTATTATGATGTTTATCCTCCTCCTCCTCCTCCTGAGCCGTCTGAAAATAAGATTCTTGAGCCGTCTGAAAATAAGATTCGGGCGTCTTCGGCCCTGTCAGGGTCGTTCTGGTCACTTTTTCGTGGCCTCCGGCGCTGCTTTGAACGGCGGGGGAGAGGCCCAGAGGGCCCGCGAAGGGTTGAAACATGTCGTGGGCCAAAGGGGGAAAAATACAAGAGGGTGACAGGTCCCGGGCCCCGGGCCCCTGATGCACTGGTATTTTATATATGCGCAGGCCTCTTTCGCAACCAAGCCGCTGCTCAGGCGCAATCGAATCATACTTGATTGATAATTGGTTCGCGCAGCCACAGCGCGACACAGTAACTGCGCGACGCCACCACAACGACACAACAGCACCACACTCTCCACAACAACGATCGACATTGCGTTGCCCTTGATTCACGTGTGGGCCACACAGCTGCTTCACAACTAGACCATAGTCTGCTCGCGACTGATCCTGACCGGGCCGCCATCGGTCCACAGTGGGCACCGACATCGATGCACAACTGACCATTTGCCCCCCGAATGACTCACGAGCCACATCGCAACACCCCGACCCGCCGACCGGCAGCATCAGAAGCATGGACAAGCTGACACCACAAGCCCAGAAGAGCCACCGCTCTCGCGCGCAGCCTGGCACGCACGTCGCGCAGGGCGCGAAACAAGAGGTCACTTCTTCCCAGTGTTGGAGGCTTCACAGAAATACTCGCAATCGCAATCTCCGACTTGTTCTACTCACGGCTCCGCTCCAGAACTCCGCCAGGCGACGCTCCTGGCCGATGGCGACAAGCCCAGCCACGGCAACGACCCACCCCTTCTCGACTCTGAGGGGAATCAAAAGGAAACCAACGCGAGCGCAGAGGTAAGAAGGCAAGGCAACCACAGGTCTGACCCAACGTCCTCACGAAGGGGAAACAACCCCAACACTGGGGCAACATCGCTGCTCTACACACAAACCAAACTGGCCTGATGATGGCTGATTCCGGAAAACCAGAGTCCGAACATGTGAATGTCTCGCTTTCACTTTCGCCAGCTTCCGCCGACCTTCCGCAAACGTCCGCTGCCTGACCCGCCGCCGTGCTACGTCCACCACCGTATGCTGGCCGTCCGCCGAAGGCGAGAGGCACCGCAGGCGAGGCCGGAACGTCCTGCATGGGGAGGTGAAGAGTCGAGTGAACACCGGGCGTTCAGTCTTTGACTCGGCGTAGCTGTCTTAACGTCTAAACGATGCCGAGGGTAGAAATGTACTCTCCGAGTCTCCCAGGCCCCTGCGGTCCAGCTGCCGACCGCGCGGCGCCAGCGTCTTGCTGATCTCTCTCGGCCGCCTGGCGGATGCAGGGTCCCCGGGTGGAGAACAGTCGAGCCTCGGTGAGAGCAACGGACATCGACCAACCTCGCTTCGGCTACGGGGAACAACTTGTGCTTAGCATGTCGCGGCGGCGGCCCCTGCGACCGGCTATGCCCTGCAAGCTGATTGTGTGTCGCCCTGCCTGAGAGTAGTTCCTAACTGTAAGCGCGGCACCAGGCTAAAGCACCAGGCTAAAGCACCACGCTAAAGGACCATGCTAAGGCACCAGGCTAAAGCACCTGACTAAGGCACCAGTATAAGGCACTCTGCTAATGCACTAGGCTAAGGCACCAGGTTAAGGCACCAGGCGAAGGCACCAGGCTAAGGCACCAAGCTAAGGCACCAGGCTGAAGCACCAGGCTAACAGCACCAGGCTAAAAGCTGGGGTGCCTTTTGACTAGAATTTCGAAAGGAATCCAGCGGTGGCGACGAGGACCTCCCAGGAGGCCCAAACAGGGGAAAACGAGGGAAAGACAGCGGTAGCGGTATCTCTCCCTCCTATGCTTTCTTCCGAGCTCATACAACCAACGCGGTGGGAAACCTCTAGTGCCCACGCACCGAGTGCATGACATCCATCCCCAGCGGTCGGTTTCCTGTGTCCTACAACCCTCGTCAAAATTAACCTCAAAATGGCGGGCACGCCCCTTCGATGTCGGCGCGCCCCTTCAATGTCGATACGACGCCCCTTCAATGTCGGGGCCAGGGCAGATGTGGTGTGACCGGGAGCGACTCGAAAATTCAAAGATGACCGACATTGGAGGGGCGGCGCATACAAGTACATCGCACTCATCGGCACTCGGTCCGATATCTCCCACAATCAGTTCAGCTACGTGAGGCATTTTTGAGGTTATTTTTGACGAGGGTTCTAGGTCCGAGTGCGCCCCTGAGACCTCCAGGCACGTTTACTTGGAATGTCCGACAGTGCCTATCTGGACAACAGAGCATTTGAGGCCAACATCCAGCGAACTAGGGGAGGTTGCGAATCGTTACACTTTGTTGCTCTAACCAGGGATGTGTGCCCGCGGACTGGGTGGCAATGGACCCCCCCCTGAGGTTGAGTCCGGCACCGTTCCGGATGTCGCCCCTTTGGAGCGTTCGCACACGTCTCGAGTGCTTGTTGGTGCTGGCGATGCCAGACCACTCTCAAGACCCTCGGGTGGGCACGAGGGAATTTGGCAACAACCAATCATGGATCGATCCCGCGAGCGGCACGACCTCCTCCACTTTTCCGCAGCTTCGATCAAGATCTGCCAGGTCGAGGTCGACAAACACATAGGCGAATCGGCGAAACCTACCAACTCCTCCTGTGTCAGCAGCGATGCTAGAATAGAACGTTTTGCTGAGCATGCTGCGAAGGTGTGATGTCAGTCATGTCACGTCGACGCCCACCTACTCCATCGTACCCCTCCCTTCGTCCTCCTCGTCGTCCTGCCAGTCCTCCTCCTCATCCTCCTCGCCCTCCTCCTGCTATTCCTCCTACTCAGACTCCTCCTCCTCCTCCTCACCCTCCTGCGCCCAATCCTCTCCCCCTTCCTCTCTCCAACTCTCGCTGGGACTCCCCCTCCTCGCTGCTCCTCCTCATGCACCTACTCCTCCTCCTCATTCTCCTCCTCCTCCTCCTCGTCCCCTCCCCATGCTCCTTAACCGGCATCCTTATCCTACCTTCTATCCATCCCATCGCACTGCTCCTCCCATCGTCCTCTTCGCTACACTTCGCTCCTCTTCTTCGCTCCCGCACCTCTATCTCTCCCTCCTCCTCCTCCTCCTTCTCCTCCTCCTCCTCCTCCTCCTCCTGACCCCCCTCTCCTCCTGACTGGTTGTACGCTTGTAATGACTCCTCCTAGCCAATACTCCTCCTCTGACTCCTCATCCTCCTCCCTCCTCAATATTATTATCCTCTTCTCATCCGCTTCCTCCAGCTCCTACACATCGTTCCTGTTTCCCTCCTACGTCTTCCTCCTGTTCCTCCTCGTGCTCAGCTCCTCCTCCTTCCCCTCCTCCTCCTCCTCCTCTTCCTCCTCCTCCTCCTCCTCCTCCTCCTCCTCCTCCGTCTCCTCCGCCTCATCCTTACCCTCCTCCTTGCCCCTCATCATTCTTCACCATCCCTCCAAGTACCCCTTCTACCCTCCCATCGCCTTGCTCCTCTCATCGCCGTCCTCCTACCCCTCAGCCTCCCGTCGCCTTCCTCCTCGTAATCCTCCTGGCTCCTCCTCTTCCGTCCCTCCCAACCGTCCTCGTCATACCCTTCCTTCTAGCGGGGGCTGCGCAAATGCTCTGACCCAAGCAGCTCTCCTGGACGGGGCGCCATAACATAAACGCTCTTGAGGGCAACCCTATGATGATGTGAAGGGGGGAGGGGCGAAGGCGGGTTAGGCGAAGTGAGCAGAAGGTTTGCAGGGGAAGCAGTAGCAGCTGCAAGAGGAGGAGAACGAGGACCAGGATAAGGAGGCGGAGGAAGCGAGCGCCGCAAGAACTTGAAACGTGCATGCCCCCCTTCCTCTTGAGGGGGCGCCTCATGCTTCAGCGTTGGGCGTTTCGGGGGCGCCGCCTACCATTCACCAAAGTGCCGCGATTCTGCCCCGCGCGTGCACCCGATGCTCTCGCAACATTGCGCGGGCCCCCTCCTGGCATGCGCACGACTACAGCGCGACGAAGTCACGCGGATGCGCGGCAAGGACCTGCAAGGACCCCGGGACGCCCGAGCGACAACCTCTCTCGTGAGCGGGAGTGGCCGCTGGGCCGAGCGAGCGAGGACTGCTGCCCTTCGGAGAGCCTCTCCTCCTCGGAGAGCCTGCCTGCCCGCACCCTCCGGTGGCCCCCGCGCCGCTGCGGGGCCCCCGCGGGCGCCCGACCAGCTTGGACTCCGCGGCCACCTCCCGCGGTCCCGGCGGCGGGCCCGCGGCCGGGGCCGCGGCGGGGACTCCTGGCGCCCGCGCACGCGCGAGCGGGCGCCCGCGCGCGCTTCGCTTCGCTTCGGAAAGCCGCGAGGCCCGACCAGAGAGGTCTGCGGACGTCTCGGTGTCCGCCGCCAAGTTTTCGCACGAGGGGAGCCGAGGGGGGGGGGGGTGGAGGCTCCCCAGAGGCGTTCTGGGAATCAGGGCGCTTGAGACGGGGTCACGGTAAACGGAGGCGTAGGGGACGCCCTATGCCCCTGTTTAGGGAGCACTGGGTCCAATAGACGAGGGCATAGTTAACGGCGACATAAGGAAACACACAAAGGCCCCGTTTGGGGGGCCCTGAAGTAAATGTCCTGGAGGCTCTACGGGACGGCCTCAAAAGAGCACAGTAGGCACGTCGAATAAGACATTTTGCTATGAGGAACCACGGGGCGGTCGATCGTTGATGGTCCTACGCCCTAAGGTGCGGCTCCCTGGAATTTTCTGTGGGCCACCTGCTGGCAGGTCGATTTCTTCTTTGCTTTGCCTTATGTCGTCGGGGGAGGGGGGGCGTGTGTCCAGGCAGGTGCATGGAGACCCAGGCAATGTGCACACGCGACCGAGGCCCCTTACAACAGTCAGTAGTTACACCCTTGGCGGCAGAAGGCCCCAAACAGAGCTTTGGAATAATAAAGCGAGCACCTCTATAGATCGAAACGACAAGTTCGTCGCCTTCTGCGAAGCATGATGGCGAGCACTAAAACACGGGAGACTATGCGGGAAACCATACGGGAGACCATGCGGGAAACCAGGCCAGAGACCCGATGGGAGCCCTCGGGCCCAACATGCCACAATACTTCGTAAGCATGCACGCGCGCGTTGGCGGGACCCGATCCGACAAACGCCAGGGCAACCCGCTCGCTGCCTCCCGCGTACGGCGGGGAAGCCCCGCCGGCAGGAGGAGCTGAAAAATGGCCCGATGGCTCTCGCAGAAAAGTCTGGGGAGCAGCCGGGAGAGGGATGGCTCTAGCCCGGCAGCGCCTCCAGGGTGCGCCGGGCTTCCATGGCCAACCAGTCGCATATGTCCTGCTCCGATGGCGAGGCGCACTCCTCCTCGAGGGCGCGCTCCATGTAGCCGCGGGCAGCAGCATAGTCCCCGTCCGCAAACGCAGCGACGCCGCCCCAGTACTGGTTGCGGCGAGACCGCGGGTACGCCTTCACGCTCCGTTCAAGGTACTTCCTGGCCTTGCTGGTGCTGCTCATCGGCCAGGGGGCGGCCAGGTAGTACGCCCCCCAATAGATACAATAAATTGACCCATCGTACTGAGGGTGCAGCTTCTCCAGCTTCGCCGCAGACAACAAGAACGATACCGCCCTGCCCGACGTGACAGCTGCCACAATCCGCCACCCTGCCTCGAGGCGCGAAACGGAGTGTCCTCAGGTCCCTTCGAGCTCTGTGCACTGAGTACTTTAGGGGGCTCACAGCCCCGAGTTCCAGGCTCACAACCCAGAGGCCTCGCCGAGACGCTCCAAGACACCCTCAAAACAGCCTCCCTGAGGCTTCCGAGCGGCTTCCCGAGAGATCCCCACGGGCATCCAAGAGGCCTCAGACCTACGTCCCAGGCGCGATGGCGGCATGGGCCGAATGCGGCTAGATTGATCCGCCACCCCCTTGTTGATTTATCACAGGGGTGCCCGGCGTTCTAAATGTGTCGTGGTTTCTGGTTCTTTTCAAAACTCCCCCATGGGGCTTCGGCTCATTGCGCTGGCCACCCTGAAGGCCGCGCAAGTTGCCCAGATGGTTGCCTTTCTCGCCACATGGCCTCCGATGGACCCCAGGATGCCTCCAAGACGGCCAAGATGGCCAAACATGGTCCAAGATGCCCCCAAATCCGCCCGAAAAGCCACCAAGACGGCCCAACATGGCTCCAAGATGGCCCAAGACGGCCCAAGAGGCCCCCAAGAGGTCCTCCAGGAAAGCCCGAGGAGGCCCAAATTATTGATTGTCCGTTGGTTTTTGAAAGAGTTCGGCATTTGCTTCTCTTCTGCCTTCCGGAGGCCCAAGAAGGCCCAAGAGGTCTCCAAGATCGCCCCTGGAGCGCCCAAGGGTGCCTTCAAGATGGACCCAAGAGGCCCCCAAGACGGCCCCTGAGGGGGGCCCGAGACGGCCCAAGAGGCCTCCATGACGCCCAAGACGGGCTCCAAGACGGCCCTGAAGCGCCCCAGGCGCCCCAAGACGATCCAGAGAGGCAGCCTCAGACGGCTCACGACGGCATCAGACGGCCCAGGAACGCCCTAAGACGGCCAAAGAGACCCCGAACAAACACCCAAAGACCCCCAAGAGGCCGAAGGAGACCCGTAAGAGGCCTCCAAAAGGCTCCCAAGAAGCTCCAAGGAGAGCCCAAAGGTTCCGCAAGAGGCTCCCAAGAAGTCTCCTCCTCCTCCTCCTCCTCCTCCTCCTCCTGCTCTTCTCCTCTGCCTCCTCCTCCTCCCCCTCCTCCTCCGCCTCGTCATCCTTCTCCTGATTCTCCTGTTCCCCACGTGTTCCCCGACGAGTTTCAACGACAGCTGGGGGAACACATGGTCCGATAACTTGGCCAAGCTCTAGCCCAACTTTCGCAGGCGCTTCCAAAAAGGCAGGGGGAGGCAGTAAATCGCCGCAGGCGTCTTCGATCCGCCGCCCCCTGTTGATCTATATCAAAAGGGTGCCCGGCATGTTGAACGTCTGATGGTGCCTGGCTTTTTGGAAGAACCCTCCCATGGGGCTTCGGTCCACTGCGCCGGCCACCCAGAAAGCTCTCCAAATCCCCACCTCATGGACCAAATCGCCCATCAGACAGTCGGGAAGGGCCAAAATGGTCTCCAAGATGCCTCGAAGACGGCCAAATTGGTTCCAAGAGAGCCCTGGATGGCTCCGAGATGCAGCCAAGACTGCCCCAATAGGCACCCTAGACGGCCCAAAATGGCTCCAAGATTGCCCAGGACAGCCCGTGAGGCCCTCAAGAGGCCTCCAAGACGGCCCTGGAGGCCTCCAAGAGGTCCTCCAGGAAGGCCCGAAGGGCAAGATCATTGGTTGTTCGTTAGTTTTTCAAGTATTTTGGCATTTGCTTTAAAATGGGCGCCCGACGGCACAAGCGGCCCCCAAGATTGCCCCAAGATTGCCCAAGAGGCCTCCAAGATGGCCCCGGGACGGCCCCAAAATATGTTCCCAAGATGCCCAAGGAGGCCCCCAAGAAGCCTGCAAGAGGTCCCCGGGAAGCTCCCAGGAGACCCCAAGAGCGCCCCGATAGGCTCCCAAGAAACCACCCCCTCTTTTTGTCCGCCCTCTCCTGTTTTTCTTCGTCTTCTTCTTCTTCTGCCTCTTTATCCACCACGTGTTCCCCGAAGAGCTTCCACAACGGCTGGTTGAACAGATAGTCCGATAGCTTGGCCGAGCCATGGCCACAACGTTCGGCCACATAGGCGCTTCCAAAAGGCATGGGGCGGCGGTGATTCGCCGTAGGCGTCTTCGATACCCTTCGAAGAGGTGGCGTACATGCTCTGCACACTGAGTACTTCAAGTTAAGGGGCTCACAGCCCCGAGTTCCGGGACTCACAACCCCGAGGCCTTCCGGAGACGCCCCAAGACACCCTCAAAATCGCCTTCTAGAGGCTTCCGAGAGGCCTTCCGAGAGATCCTCATGGGAATCCTAGAGGCCTCAGGTCTACGATGCAGGCGCGGTGGCGGCTTGGCCCGAAGGCCACTAGATCCGCTGCCCCCTGTGGCTTTTCTTGTTATTCGTTTTTCTTCTATCCTCTTCTTCTTCTTCTTCTGCTTCCTCCCCCACGTATTCCCCGAAGGGCTTCCACAACGGCTGGGGGAGCGCATGGTCCAATAGCGTGGCAAAACTTTGCCCAAAAGTTTGGCCACATAGGCCTGTCCTCTAAGGCAGGGGGGCGGCGGTGATTCGCCGCAGGCGCCCTCGATACCCTTCGAAGAGGTGGCGTACATGCTCGCCTCCACGGACAGGGTGAAGCTGGACGGGTCCTTCTCGAAGGCGTCTCCCAGCACGGCCTCGGCCTCGCCCAGCAGCGCCTGCGCGACGGGCGCCCACTCCGACCAGAGCCTCATGTTGGCGCTGGCTGGCGGAGAGCACGAGGGGGCAAAGGGCGCACGGGGCGGCTCGCTGACGGACTTCTCAGGAGGGGCCCGGCCACTTGGATTGGAGGTATCTGCTGGAGGGCCCCCGGAAGAGCGACTTAGGGCGATGAAGCCCGACTAAGAAGCCATTCAACCGAAGTAATCACCAGTAAGTCCACGATCGAGCTGGATTACACTGGATCAAGAGGAATGAAAAATGGACTATTCTGGATTACGCCGGTTTTCGACCACGGATATGCCAGGGCCGATGCTGGATCCCTCTAGGGCGCAGGTAATTTAGGGCGCTTCCTCTTCTTACCCCCTTCTTCCCTTTCGGGGAGGGGCTCTCCCCTCCCTCTGCCCCCTCCCTCTGGGTCTGGACGGGGGGGGGGTCGCGGGTAGTTAGAGCACCCAAGACAACACAAGGTGGATCCAAGAGGGCCCCAGGTAGCCCAAGCTGGCCTCCAAGATGGCCCAAGATAGAGCAAGATCGCACAAGATGGCTTCCAACATACTCCAAGAGGTCTCAAGACTGTTCCAAGACAGGTCCAAGTGGCCTTGGATGCTCCCCAGGACTCCCCCAAGAGGCCCAACTCCTCCCCAAGCCAAGGGGAACATAAATGATGTTGGCCTTCTCGCCCGTTCGCACCCGAGGGCCTTCCGAGGCCTCAAGACGGCTCCAAGAAGGCCCAAGAGAGACCCAGGAGGGGCCCAAGAGGGCTCCAAGACAGCCCCGAGAGCGCCCGAGAAGTGACAAAAGAGCGACCTGAGAGGGTTCCCAGAGCTCCAGAAGGGCGGTGCTAAGGAAGGCCTCTGTCACCGATGCCTTCCCATGAAGGTTGCGAAGGCTCCCAAGAGGGCCCCAAGAGGTCCCTAAGAGGCCCCTGCGAGGCTCCCAAGAGGCCCCCAAGACGCCCCACAAGACGCCCCAAAGAGGCGCCCAAGACGCAAGAGCACCCCAGGAGACATCTCAAGCGATTCCGAGAGGCAGTCAAGAGGCCTCTAGTTTCTAGTTCACTGAGGCTCCCCGAGGTGCCCACATGATGCCACGCTCCACCGAAAAGGGCAAATCCTTTAGGCATCGTGCACGGGCTGGTGCGAATACTTTTTGGTACGCGGGCGCTTAAAGACAAGTCGAACGCCGAGCAGCAAGCTGGTGGGGATATGCGAAGCGTAAAGAATTGAACCGCCCAAGATTTGCATCCTAAAGAAGGCCTCCGACGGGGCCCGAAGGCCTCAGAGGCGGGGCGGCCCCCCTCTAAATGGAAAAAGCACGGGGCCCCCGACCCCTTCGCGCGTCCCTTCCGGCAAGTTTGGCCGGCTGCGTCCAGCTGTGGCCACGATGGAGGCCTCGAGGAGGCTCGAGCGCGAAGGAGGGCAAGCGCAGCAACAGACAGGACCAGAGCCCCCTCTTGTGCGCCGCCGAGCTGTTGTCCTGCTTCTCGAGCTTGGGCCCGCCTCCGTCTGGCAGCCTGCACGCCAGGCTGTTCGAGTGCGTTGCGATGCGCATGAGGGACACGGCCGCCTCCGCAGCGCTGAGCTTCAGAAGAACGTCGCTGGAGTCGGCATCGGCCATGTCCTCCGAACCGACAGGGCCCTCCCCATCCACGTGCTAGGCCATGAGGTGGGGGTCGGGCTGGTCTCCCTCTCCAAGGCCTCCTCCTCCTCATCCTCCGCCTCCGCCTCCGCCTCCGCCTTCGCCTCCTCCTCCTCCTCCTCAAGAGTCCATAGTTCTGCTCCAGAAATCTGTAGTATGTTTGTCTCCATTGTTTCCAGGGCCTGGCGAGGGTCCTCAAACGCTGACAACTATACACAACTTGATGGATCCACGTAACCGGTAAGGAACTGGAGTCACACTTTCTTCTGACGCGCGTGCGACACTTTCTATGTGCTTGTCTGCAGCCTCCACCGCCTGCACGTCGTGCTCCTGCTGCTCCTCCTCCTCCTTCGCCTCCTCCTCCGCCTCCTCCTCCTCCTTCTCCTCCTCCTCCTCCTCCTCTTCTTCCTCCTCCTCCTCCTCCTCCTCCTCCTCCTCCTCTTCTTCCTCCTCCTCCTCCTCCTCCTCCTCCTCCTCCTCCTGCTCCTGCCTCCGCATGCCCCAGGGCCCTCGGGTCCGAGGAGGGCCCCTGAGCGACCACACCACGGAAGCGCCCGACGAGGCCGACGCGGGCGCGGCCCCGCGCGCCTCTGCGCGTCCTCCTCCGCCTACTCCTCCTCCTCCTCCTCCACATCCTCCTCCACATCCTCCTCCTCCTCCTCCTCCTCCTCCTCCTCCTCCTCCTCCTCCTCCTCTTTCTCCTCCTCCTCCTCCTCCTCCTCTCCTCCTCCTCCTCCTCCTCCTCCCTCCTCTCCTCCTCCTCCTCCTCCTCCTCCTCCTCCTCCTCCTCCCCTCCCCTCCTCTTCCTCTTCATCTTTCTCTTCCTCCTCCTCCTCCTCCTCTTCCTCTTCATATTACTCTTCCTCCTCCTCCTCCTACTCCTCGTACACCTCCACCCCCTCCTCCTCCTCCTCCTCCTCCTCCTCTTCTTCTTCGTCTTCTTCTCCTCCTCCTCCTCCTCCTCCTCCCTCCTCGTCCCTCCTCCTCCTCCTCGTCCTCGTCCTCCTCCTCATCCGCCTCCTCCTCCTCGTCGTCCTCCTCCTCGTCCTCCTCCTCCCACACACCTCCTCCTCCCCTTCCTCCTCCTCCTCCTCCTCCTCCTCCTCCTCTTCTCCTCCTCCTCCTCCTCCTCCTCCTCCTCCTCCTCCCTCCTCCGCCTCCTCCTCGTCCTCCTCCTCCTTCCTCCTCCCCCTCCTCCTCCTCTTCCTCCTCCTCCTCCTCTTCCTCCTCTTGCTTCTGCTTCCCTCCTCCCCTCCTCCTCCTCCCCTCCCCCTCCTCCTCACCCTCCTCCTCCAAGCGCCTTCCGCGCCCAGGGAAGAGCTGCGGAAGATCTCCTCCTCCTCCTCATCCTCCTCCTCCTTCTCCTTCTCTTCTTCCTACTCCTCCTCCTCCTTCTCCTCATCCTTCCTGCGTCCCGTGTTATCCTTCCTCCTTCCTTCTTCCTCCTACCTCTTCCAACCTTCCTCCTTCCTCCTTCCTCCTCCTCCTCCTCAGTCCTCCTCCTTCCTCATTTCTCCTCCGCCTCCTTCTCATCGTCCTGTCTCCACCTTCCTCCACCTTCCTCCTCCTCCTCCTCCTCCTCCTCCTCCTCCTCCTCCTCCTCATCGTCGTCCCCATCCTGCACGGCGACGCCTGTCACCTGTTAGGCGCATGTTGGCCCCCACCGCTCCACGCACGCGCACGTATTATCGCGCGCGAAGAACTCTCCACTCCCTCGGAAGATGCGCATGAAGAAGGGTCCCTCGCCTGCGGCCCAGTCTTGGCCCGAAACACGTGGAAACACGTGCCCTGCGTGCACGCGCCAGGCGCATGTTGGGTCCCCACCCCCGCGAACGTATTATCCACCGGGTCCCACTGGGGCCCCGTGGACACGTGAAAACCCGTGCCGAGCGCGCACGCGCCAGGGGCATGCTGGGTCCCCCCCCCTTCCGCGCATGGAGTCCCTCGCCTGCGGCCACGTCGTGGCCAGAAACACGTGGAAACACGTGCCCTGCGCGCATGCACCAGGCGCATGTTGGGCCCCTCCTCCGTTGCCCACCCGACGCGCACGTAATTTCACGTGCGACGAATTCGCCACCACCGTGCTCCGCGCGCGCACGCGCCAGGGGCATGTTGCCCCCCCCCACCCCCATCCCCCACCCCCACTCCGTTCCCTCCCTGCGCACCCCTTCCCCCCCGCGCACATATGTTTAGCAGAACAGAATTCGGCATCCCCGAAGTTGGGTCCCTTGCTGGCGGCCTCGTCGTGGCATGAAACATGCGAAAATAAGTGTTCCGCAAGCACACGACAAGTGTATGTTGCCCTCCCCCCCCCTCCGTTTGCCCCCACCCCCCCCCCTTCTGCGCACACATTTTCACACGTAGGGACTTAATTCTCCACCTCCAAGTTGGGCCCGCCTGGGGCCCCGTGGACACGTGAAAACACATGCCCCGCGCGCACGCGCCAGGGGTATGTTGCCCCCCCTCTGCGCATGTCTGTAACGTGTACCGAAATCGGCACCTGTTTTTACGTGCACCTTTCTGGTGCAAGGCCTTTGGCCCGCAAACTTCTGGACAGGAACTCTACCTGGGAAACAACAACGTGTTGTTCAATACGTTGGAGGTCTGCGGACATTCAAAAAGACAACAAACACTACGGAAGCGCCCGAAATGGGTACGGAAACGAACCGACAGCAAATGTTGCCCCAAACCGACAGCGGCCGCTGTTGGACAAGCGACTTCCTGTCTCAAATGGACACCGTCCGTGGCGACACCGACACCGAGTCCTGCTCGAAACGGCCAGCCGTCGGCACTCCTACCGAACCTTTCCGCTCGATCGTGCGGATACTGGATGGGCATCGGCAGTGACCTTCTGCCCCGACTGGGGAGCCCAAAAAGTAATCCCACCAGCCCTTTGGGCGTGAGTGGTTTAGCGAGCTCTCTCTGTCCTCAACCCCCCTTCTTCCCCTTCGGGGAGGGGTTTACTCCTCCCCCTACCCCCTCCCCCTGGGCCTGGAGAGGGGGTCCGGCGGGTCGTCAGGGGGGTCAATTTCGACCCCTGGGAGGGCTCAAAAACGACGACCCTCACGAGGATTCTGGCCCCGACGGGGGGACGGAGATAAGTCCCTCTCCTCTTCTGTGAAGCCCAAAACATTGATTTTACTATGGTTTTGGCCCCATTTTGGACTTCTGAGGGGGCAGCGCTCATCGTCCTTCATAGCAAAATCATTGATTTTACGAAGGTTTTGGCTTCATTTTGTCCTTCTCAGGGGGTAGCTCTTCTTTGCGCTTCTGAGGAGGTCGCAAGAGGCCCCAAGATGGCCCCAAGAGGCCCCCAGGAGGCTCCCAAGAGGCCTCCAAGAGACCCCCCAGAGGCCCCCAAGCGGCCCCAAGAGGCCCCCAAGAGGCCCCCAAGAGGCCCCCAAGAGGCCCCCAATAGGCCCCAAGAGGCCCCAAGAGGCCCCCAAGAGGCCCCCAAGAGGCCCCCAAGAGGCCCCCAAGAGGCCCCAAGAGGCTCCAAGAGGCCCCCAAGAGGCCCCACGAGGAGCCCGAACGACTCACACCAGGACGAGGGGCCCGAACGACTCACACCACGAAGAGCCCGAACGACTCACACCACAAGGAGGGGCCCGAACGACTCACACCAGGACGAGGCGCCCGAACGACTCACACCACGAGGAGCCCGAACGACTCACACCACGACGTGGGCCCCGAACGACTCACACCACGAGGAGCCCGAACGAGTCACACCAGGAGGAGGGGCCCGAACGACTCACACCAGGATGAGGGGCCCGAACAACTCACACCACGAGAAGCCCGAACGACTCACACCAGGACGAAGAGCCCGAACGACTCACACCACGAAGAGCCCGAACGACTCACACCAGGAAGAAGGGCCCGAACGACTCACACCAGGACGAGAAACCCCAAACGACTCAAATCACGAGGAGCGCTTTCTCTCCCTCCTCCTCCGCCTCGTCCTTCTCCCGCTCCCCCCACAAGGAGGATGTACAAGGAGGCGGGAGGAAGGAGGAACAGGGGAGATATGCGGGGCCAAGCGGACACACGCCTGAAAAACACGACTGTCGGCATGCTTCGCAAGAGTTGCTGCTGTGAGATGGGCTGGTGGGGATACGCGAAGCGTAAAGAATTACTAATATCGCTACTCCCTGGACCTCTCCCGGGATGCGGCGGGGTGCGAATCCAGCGGTGGCGACAAGGGCCTCCGAGGAGGCCCAAAAGGCGAAAACGAGGGAAGGGTAGCGGCATGGGTATACGCGCGAACGAAGAGATAGCACCCAACACCCAGAATTTCAGATAGCACCGACGAGGCTCCAACGCTCTTCACCTGCGCGGGTCAGATAGCACGCACATGCCACACGAGGACAACCCAGAAGGACAGAACTGGGGGGAACTTCAGATAGCACCATCGCAGAGTCGAGCATGCAGAAGAGAGAGAAGCGACGGCACCGGCGCAGACCCAGCCACCTGCTGGCACCAAGAGGGCGCCACATGAATCCAGCGTCTCGCAGCCTCCCCGCCCAAGCCCCAGGATGGCCGACTTCCAGAGCGGGCCGGGCAGGGGGGGTGCGGGGAGGCAGGGAACCGCCGCAGGCAGATATCACACGCCCCGAGGGGAGGGGGGGGGGCCCAGGATGGCCCACTTCCCGAGCCTTCCCTCCTCTGCCCCAGCGCTCCCGGATGGCGTAGAACGCCTGCTCCATCTTCGCCGCGTCGCCCCGCGCCGCGGACAGCAGCTCCGCGGCCTTCGGAGGCGCGGCGAAGGCCCTCGGCGGCGACCCTCGGCGCAGCAGCGCCAGCGCGCACGCTGCCAGGGCGACGCCCAGCCCGGGCGCGGCGCGGGCCGCCGCGCGGCGGCGGCGGCCACCCCGCCGCAGGCCGCCGGAGGCTGCCATCCCGGACGCTGGTCGGCGGCGAGTCCGGGGAGGAGGGAGCAGGGGCGGGCTGCCTCAGGAGGCCCGGACCCTCCCGCGGCCTCCTGGAACGTGTTTTCGAGGAGACTGCCGAGGAGGCGCGGGGAGACCTCTCGGAAGGCCGGAGGGCTTGTGAGAGGCCCCGCCGCCTCCTGAGAGGGCCTCGTCTTGCTCACTTGCCCCCATCGCTCGCCGCCAATCTGGCCCAGCACGGGAGGGGGGGTCGTGGCTTGAGCCAAGGTGGCTACGGATCTCCTCGTCCTCCTCCATCCCTTTCCCTTGTAAACAATTCCTGCCTGTCGCACCTCGAGCCCCGAGTCGTGTCGGTAGGGCGGGCAGGGCGTTTCGCATGAAACTTTTTCCGCGCTCAGAATCCTGAAGCTTATAAACAAATTGCAGCAATTTCAGAGCTGGAGGGCGGTTCCCACAATGCCTTAGCGGCACGCACATTCGTCTTAAACGCTTGCAACGACTTGCACGGATGGACTCTGACCGTTTCCAAAATGCGACTCTCGCCTCGGCGCCGCTCACGACCTCTCCACCCCTGGAACGGGATGAAGAGCAATTACATAAACATACAGTTCCGAATTTCGGCGCGGATCTCTTGGAGCGGCGCTGGCCCCCTCCCCCGCGCAGAACGCGCCAGGGGTGGCGCCGGAGCGTCGCGAGGGGGGTCCAGCGCAGATCCAACGAATCCGCAAGTACCTTCGAAAAATTAGGTTCATACGGTTGTTTCCTATTCGATCGAAGGCTAGGCATCGCGCCGCATCACGGTGTTGGTGATCCGCCTGCATGCTCCGCGCCCCGACGGCGCACACACTTTTTCCCCCCGGCGCGCAAATGTCTGCAAAGTGGTGGAGGTCAGGCCAAGCGGGGCAGATACTATCCGTGCCTACCACGCTCATGTGGCAGCGCATCAACAAGCGCAGTCAAGCACAGGAATCATCGGACCCGAGCAAACAAAACAATGGCGCGCACACACAAACTCACACACACAGACACGCACACACACACACACACACACACACACACACACACACGCACACACGCACACACGCACAGACAAACACAGGCACGCACACATACACACACACACCTACCCACACACACACACGCACACACACAAGCAGACGCACACAAGCGAACACAACGTACACACCAACACACACACACAAAAACACCCTGAGTTTTTAGCGTCTCGGCCGGACGCGCAGCGACGCGGCGGAGTGAGACAAGGCCCGAAAAGAGTCCACGGCTAGAAGCAAACCACACGTTCACTCCGAAACAACGACATTCCACAGGCGCTTTCACGCACAATCAACACAGCGAGAGCTAGAAGTGCATGCGGCTTGGCTTCGCTAGGCAAGCGGGCGGGCGAGGGCAATACTCCACCGCGCCACGATCTTCCAGACACGCAAACAGAAGCACACATACCCAAACACCCTCCGATATAATCCTCTCCATCCCAGACCGCACAACTCTCGACCGCTTCCGGGGGGGGCAGATCTTTCGCCCCCAATCACTTTCTGATGCCCCCGGGGCCCGAGAACGGCCACCAGAGGCCGAAATCGACGACAAACGGCCGAACTGAAACATGATCGACCCACGGACCCGGAAAGGAATTTAGAAACGCGAAGCACGGCTACGTTCCCAAGACACCTGATTGGACGAAAGCAATTGCAATGATGAAGGTGTCGATCGTGATGTACCGTGCCAAGAATCGTGCTGTGCTGTGCCGTGCTGAAATGATATGTGTCATGCCGCAGTGAATTGCGTTGTGCTCCATCGCGTTGTGGATCAAGTTGCCCTTGACATCCGAATCCTGGACGCATAGCTGGCCCAGAACTGGTTGCTGTCGAAACGTGTGAGGCGCTCGATCATCTCGAGCTCAAGAGCCGACTCAATTCCGAAACGGAACGAGTCGACACGGGGCGCAGCGCGCATGGACGCGCCACGGAATGTGCCAGGGGCGCACTGGGGGATGCGCCGAGGGACGTGTCAGGGGACGTGGCAAGGGACGCGACGCATCACGGAACGGGCGGGGAAAGCGCCAGTGGACAAGCCAGCGACGCGACACAGGACGAACCAGGGGACGCGCCGAGGGGGGAGTGGCACACGCCGCCCCGCCCTGGGGCGTTAGGAACCCGCAGCGTTTCACGCTTGTCCCGCTCTGGGGCGTTAGGAACCCATGCGTTTTCACGTGTCCAGGACACCCAGGGACGGACGTCGAACATTTGGTTGTGAAAAAAACAAGTTCCAGCTCGGAACAAACAGAATTTGGACGCCCGAAACGTGTACGGAAAAATGGGTACTATGCCCAACAACAAATGCTGTCCCAAACCAACAGCAGCCGCTGTTGGGCAGGCGGCCTTCTGTCTCAAATGGACACAGGCCGCGGCGGCGCGGACAGCGAGTCCTGTTCAAAATGAACAGGAACTGCTGTTGGGCTTTGTATCCATTCTTTCCGTACCCATTTCGTTCGTGCAGGCATATTAGATACCGCCCTGGGTGGCCTGGACACGTGAGCAGCGTGGTTGCACCAAGATCCCTCTCTCCCTATTGTGGGGGCGCCCCGACCGGCGCAACTATTTGTTTAATCTTCCCGCCACAAATCTTTTCTGGAATCCCTTACTCACATTACTGAGCTCGGCCCCGGGCGGTCGAGTCTGCTCGAGGCGGAAAAGAAGATGTGGTATACAGAATTAGCCTGGCGAAGAACCCAACCCCTGCTCAAACACGGGGCGACTATAACCAGGAGCGCACACTACACAGAGGCCCCCGCTGGAGTTCCTGGGGGCGGCGAGACGTGCGAGGGGTGTGCCGAAATGGCGCGGGTAACCGTGCGGACTATGCGGACCGGGCCACTGGAGCCTTCGGTTGAGCTCCCCAGGAGGCCACGGAACGTGCGAGGAGTGTGCCGATGGGAAGTGCAAAGGGGTGGATGAGCAGGAAGCGAGAGGATGGAAAAGGGGCAGGACGAAGATGAGGGTGAGGAGGGGAGGACCAGCGTAAACCCAAGAGTCATCAACGATGTTGGGATCAACCCTCCCTCCAAGCTCCCTCTTCGTAGGCCCCTACAACAGATCATTTCCATTGAGGGATCTGCCTCGTTGGAGGACAACCGTTTGAAGACTCTGAAGCATGCCAAAACAATGTTCTCGGGACTTCAACGCCACGGATCTGCCTGACTGCTGCGTCTTGACAGTCACGAATCGTGCCAGAACACCGCTTTTGGTACTTGAACACCGCGAATCAATATAACTGTTGCACCCGCAAAGTGCTGAATCCGTCCAAAACAACATTATGATACGTTGATCATGGGATTCCGAGAAACTCTGGCACATATTACGAGCGAATGCGCGGGGCGCTATGGCGAGAATCACATTTTGAACACCACCCGCTCTCAATCCGTGAAGCTCTTGCAAATGTTTAAAGAAATGTACGCGGCGCTAAGGCGAGAGCCACATTTTGAAAACCGCCCGCCCTCAATAGATGAAACTGTTGCCACTTGTTAAGCTTCAGAGTCGTAAATGGCGAGGAAGTCTCAGGCGAAACGCCCAGCCCGCCCTAGAAACTGGCCTCGGGGTGCGACAGGGATAAATTATTCATAAGGACAAGGAATGGGAAAGGAATGGAGGAGGAGGAGGAAGAGGACAAGAAGGAGGAGGAGGAGGAGGAGGAGGAGGAGGAGGAAGATGAGGAGAAGGAGGAGAAGCCGGAGGAGGAGGACGACGACGAAGAGGAGAAGGAGGCGAAGGAAGAGGACAAGGAGGAGGAGGAGGAGGAGGAGGAGGAGGAGGAGGAGGAGAAGCCGGAGGCGGAGAAGGACGACGACGACGAGAAGGAGGAGGAGCAGGAAGGTGTGGAGCGCGGCGCTGCGGATTCAAAACGAGGACCCAGCACCCCGGAGGGTTGAGACCCACTCCGAGGAACCGGAGCACGCCGGGCGGCTCCCGACAGCAGCGTGACCAGCTTGCCCTGCGCCAGCGGGCCCTGCTCCCGAGCCGCGGCCGCGACGCGGTCCTCGCCCGGCGGCCCGGCCGGCGGGCGGCGGGCCGCGGCCACAGAGGGCCGCCGGGAGGCGCCCAGGCCAGGCCCGCGGCGAGAGCCGCCGAGGGCCTGCCGCAGGCCGCCGAAGACTTCCCCTGCCCGCTTCCGAAGGCTTCCGCACCAGAGGCGAGCCCAGACAGCTGGCGTCTCGAACAGATCGAGGCGGAAGTGCTTCGTCGTGTTCGGCCTCCCGGGACCCTGTCCGGGCCTCGGGACCGTCAACAAAACGGCTCGGGATGAAAAACCGGCCCCAAGGGAAGTGCTCGAGAAGTCGGGAGCCCGTAACCTCAAACATATCGGAACGCTGGATGTCTGGGATCCGCTTCTGAAGGCTTCCAGAGGCGTGTCCTCCGTGCACAGGTGGATTCGCCAGAGAGGTCCACCCAGCGATGGACATCGGCAGGGCCACACAAAATCCCACTGGCACCACATTCGGCCAGATGATCAGCACGCTCGTTCAGATATTGTTGCCCGGCGTCGCTTTCCACCTTCCAGGGGACAAGACGACAAGCAGCCTGATCAGATCTATATGTGCCACACACGAAGAACACGCCGAAGGCGCCCCGCAGGCTTGCGACGGCCCTCGGAGAGCATGTGGGGGCCGGGGCCTCACAGCCCACCACGCCGGGAAGCCTCTCGGGCAGGACTTCCGGGGGGCGGGCCGTCGCCCCTGCCCTCGAAGCGCAGCGGCCGTGACCCGCAAACACGAGGCGCCGAAGCAAAGCGATCGCTTGGGGCTCGGGAGGGGCTGCGGGCTTCGGGCCGCCGTTTCTTGCTGGTCCAGGTCGGGGAGGCTTCTCGTGGCCGAGGCTCGCCGTGGCCAGAGAAGCCCCTTCGATCCTGATGTGGCACCCCTTCTGAGTTGAGATCCATCGTGAGGATACAAGTTAAGAATGCACGACCCTGAATGGAAGTCGCATCGACCACTCAGAGCTCCCCCTGGACGGCAGCATCGGCTCAGGATGGGCCGAGGAAGTAGGGAGTCAAGGGTAGCTTTGATGAAGCCGCACGTCACTACTATGGATTTTGTCTGTAGCACGATGCATTCAGCAACCTGGCCACATGGCTCGATCCAGGAAACCTGAATCCCAAGACTATAATCATATCTTGGAGGACGCCTCACTTACTTCTGCTGGCCTCTGCCGGCTTTCCGCCCGCCGTCCGCCGGCGGAGCCGCCCTCGTTTTACTCCCGCCGCCTTCCGTCCTGGAGCGACCATGTGGCGTTCATTTGTTAGCACCATGACTGTATCGGCCGCGCGCTAACACGGCTTAGGGGTCTGCGGATTGGGCGCCAAATCTATACGGGTCGGGGAAGCCACTCCCCGAAACACGAGGCCACTGCCGAATGTCGCCTCTTTTGGCGATTGCGCGCCGATTTCGCACGGAAACGGGACCCGTCGCAAATCCACGCGTCTTAATCCCAGACCCCCGACGTCGTGTTTTTTGTTTTTTATCGCCGACCCCCAGAGGTCCAGACCCATTCCCAGGGACCGCTGGTTTTCATCCCGAGTCGTTCGCTGACGGTCCCGAGGCCTGGTGAAGGCCCCCAGAGGCCGAAAACAGGGAGAAACTTTCCGTCGTATTTTTGTTTGTGAACGGGTGGTTTGTGGGGGGCGGAGCGCCCGAAGGGGTACGGGGAGGGGGAGGGAGAGGAAGGCTCCTCAAAATGGAGGCGGCTTCTTAGACGGCGCCAGCCTTGCATCTATAGGCAGAGCCCGCGCCTTCTGTTGGCCACGCGCAGAGGGGGGTAGGGGGACGGGGGGGAAGGCTTTTTAGAACCACCCTGCTTTTTAGAAGGCGCGGGCCTTGTCTGTAGATGTAAGGCCCGCGCCTTCTAAGAAGCGGCCTCCTTCTAAGAAGCCTTCCCCCCCTCCCCCATACCCCCCTCTGCGCGCCGCCAATTCTAAGGAGCAGGGGTGCTCCTACGAAGCCTTCCCTCGCTTCCCCCTACCTTCCTCTGCGCGTGGCCGGCACCAGAGAAGCGAAAGGAAGCCGCTTCCGCGGATGCGGCGCGGCCTCCTCGTACAGGTGCAGCTCCCCGACTGAACCCCAAAAACCCCTCTGCCTCCTCCTCCTCTTCTTCTTTCTTTTCCTCCTCCTCCTCCTCATCCTCCTCTTCGTATTATTAGTATTATTCTTCTCCTCTCCTCCTCCTCCTCCTCCTCCTCCTCCTCCTCCTCCTCCTCCTCTACTTCCTCCTCCTCCTCCTCCTCCTCCTCCTCCTCTTCATCCTCCTCCTCTTCTTCTTCATCCCTACCTCCTCTGCGCGTGGCTGCTCTGTGGGGGGCGGAGCCTCCCCCCTCCTCGCCAGCCCAGCTCTGAGCGGCCAGCGGCCGCCCAGAGAGGCGCCGTTCCGCCGCTGCGGCGCGCGGCCGGCTCGCGCCGGCAAGGGGGGCAGGAAGCCCAATCCGCTCGGGGAGGCGCTCCCCGACACGTCCCCGGGGCCCCTGGTGAACGTTTTCTCATTCGGCGTTTCGACATTGGGCGGGAAGGGGGGGGAAGGAGGGGGGGGTCTGGTTCTTGACAACTGCTTAACGCGACTGTTTGCAACAGTGCGTCCTATGGGGGAGACCCAACCTGCTCGAAACAGGCGCCAAAAACAACCAAGACTTACTCCATGGGGGGAAGAGGGTGCGAGGGCCCGCGCCGATCGGTAAAGCAATGAATCCGCCGGCCCCCTTGCGGGGCCACCAGGCTGTAGGCCGAAGCTTCGCAGTTTCCTGTACCAGTTGCAGCTTCCAGTTTCCACTGTTACAGTTCTGCTTACTGCTGCTTACTGTTACAGTTATGCTTCTTGCTGCTTACTGTTCCTTGTTGATGGGCCGCGCGAGGGGGGGAGGCCCAAACGGGCATTTTTACCACGCCCTGAGCGTGTTGTCTGAATTGCTGGGGTGGGCAAAAACTTACACCCCTCACGCAGATCGGCAGGGTCAGAGTCCAAAAACACATGGGATTTGCCACATGTTTGAAATTCGGTGGCACCCCTCACGCAGATCGGCGGGGTCAGGGTGCAAAAACACATGGAATTTGCTACATTTCTGAAACTTGCTGGCACCCCTCACGCAGATCGGCGGGGTCAGGGTCCAAAAACATATGGAATTTGCAACATTGCTGACATTCGGTGGCACCCCTCACGCAGTTCGGCGGGGTCAGGGTGCAAAAACACATATGGGATTTGCCACATTTCTGACATTCGGTGTGGCTCAAGAGCTGCCAGGTGGCTCAAGAGCTGCCGGGTGGCTCAAGAGCTGCCGGGTGGCTCAAGCTTTCTCACATCTGTCAATCCTACCTCCTTTCTGCACTCACCTTTTACATCTTACTCCCATACGCACATACGTTGTTCTTGCCTCTTTCGATTGTCTTCATGCCGCCGAATTCTCGGCAGCCGGGCACTCCAGTGGGTGGAGTACTGGGCAGCAGTTCCGCAGAGACGCCCCTCATGTCCACGCCGAGCAAGCAGGAGCTCAAGAAAGCGAGGATCGGGTCCAGCCCATTGCAGGAGATGGACGATGATGTCCCCACGGCACTACGACAGCAAGAGTTTCAGAAGCAGCTCGAGGACGCACAGGATCACACACCACTGACAGTTTCATCCATGGCACGGCTGTTGGATGAACGTCTGACGCCACTCCGTCAGGACATCACGGCAATCAAAGAACATGGAGTCTCTCGACACCATCTCGAAGAAGCTCTTCAACCGGTCCGGGAGGACATCGCATATATTACGCAGCGAGTGGAAGCACTCGAGACTCCATCAGCCCAAGTCACTCAACGCTCTTTCGGTACAGTGGACAGCCGGGCGTCAGTCGAGGCTCGTTTGGCGGAGATGGAGGACATGCTGAAGCACCTGACGACGTCACGAGGGGCTTCGGATTCAACATCTGTGACCGCCATCTTCGGTGGCTTGGATGGCCTCTCTTCCTTGGCGGAGGCCGAGCAGTTCATCAAAGAGGAGCTCCGGAAAGCACAGATCCCACCTCCGACCGAGATGTTCATTAAGGGAGAGCCCTATAATGGACTCGTGTTTGGAAGAATGGCGAACCCCGATGACCTTCAAAACGCTGTGAAGAGGTTCCGGTCCGAAGCCATCACGTGCTCAAACAAAAGGGTTTGGGCTAATTTGGATCAGCCGCTACATGTTCGAGTGCCCCTACGTTTCCTTTTTGGTTTACAAAGGCTCTTGATCAGCTGGGGCTTCGCAGCGAAGTCCATCAAGATCGACGACACCACGTGCTCCATGAAGTTCGGGATCGACACCGTGCTGGTGGCCAATACCACTTCTGATCATACGCTGAAACTTACATGGTTGAAGCCGGATTGGAAAACGTGGGAGGCGCTGCACAACGATGTGGATTTCACAGCCTTGCGTGACAAATGCCAGAATTCGTTACAGCAGGCCGCTGACAAGGGCAAGGGAAAAGGAAAACCTGCTAGGCAGGAGTAGGGACAGCACCGGTCAAACCAAGTTTCACTCCCTACCTTGACAGGGGAACTTCACATTTACACAAAGAATGCAAGATTAAGGACGAACGCATAATTGACAGAGTTATTATCAGAGCTTGTAGGCATACAGTGGGATATTGTTTTATTCAGCGAGACGCGGGCACCGTCATCTGAACTCACACTCGAGGGCGGCCACACATTGTTTCTCGATCTGGGGGACTATGTCGCTGCAGGCGTCGGCATCTTGGTACACGAGCGCCACGTCCCCAACATCAAAAAAGTCCGTAAATGCAGCGATCGTGCTCTTGGTATCGACATTGTGATGCATAGTCGTGTGTACACATGCTTCGCAGTATATGTGCCGCATGCTGGATTTGCCGAGGATGCCCTCGATTCGTTTTACAATGACCTCGATGGCATGGTGCGCACGTCCCAGAAGCAGAACAAGAACAGCCTTGTTGTCATTGGGGGAGATTGGAATTCTCAGTTCAATATTGGGCCCCGTGGTCAGAGACTAAACAAATTTACA